TGCTGAAGACAATGACCAGGTTCCTTGTCATTTCCCCCCCCCCAAGACAATGAATAACTTGCCCTTTGTTTTCTAAGTGTACCTGGCACTGATTTCTTCCCCTATATAAATTTTGTATTTTGCTCAGTACAGCAGAGATGATTATGGACTTTGGTCCACTGGTATTGACCTCACCAAATAAATTCCTTTCCTTATTTATCAATTTTTTAAAATCTCTTTGTCAAAGTCATGAGTGGCACAGATCTGATTTCAGGCCCCCCGTCTGAGCATCCCTGCCCATTGTGGCACATTACCATTAAATTCTTCTTTCCCTTACTGATCCAATGAATTCAACACACTAATAAATGTCAAATTCAAGTCTGCATATGATCTGGCCCCTGCCTACCTCGCCTACTTTGCATTTTTACCAATCTCCCATAGCCTGGCTTGCTCCTTGCTCTTTTAGATACAAAACAACTCCCCCTTTAGGGCCTTTGCTTTGTTGTTCACTCAGCTAAAATGCTCTCCCTCCTACTATCTATCCACTCTTTTCCCTCATCTTATTCAGGTTTCCTCCTCAGAAAAAAGCATCCCTTTCTACTCTCTGAAAGACTCCCTCCTCTACCCCATTATTCTCTTGTTTCCTTTTCCATCCCTTTTACTTTCTACATAGTACATGTTACCACCTGGCACTTCGTCTATTGTCTGTTTTTCCCCATCGAACATAAGCTCCATGAGAGGGGGTATTATTCATTCACCGCTGAATCCTGGGCATTCAGAGACCACATGCTAAGAGTTCAATAAATACATGTTGAATGAGTTTTACTGGGGTAGGGCATATATTGATAAGGCAACAACTTTCACAGCCTTGGGAGGAAGCAGCAGCATAAGATAGAGCCACAAGGCCTTTCAGATTCTATAATAGGTCGAAGTGCTATGGGAACACAGAGAAAATTTCCTGGATTAGCACTGTAATTAGATTTTGCAGGATAGATAATACATGGAAAGGCTGATGTGGAAGCAGAGGGTATTCCTAGCAGAGGGAACAGCCAATGTGGAAGCATGAAGGAGGCAAAGTACAGGGTATATTCCAGGAGAAAATGAATGAGGAAGTGTAAGAGGTGAGAATGTAGAAGATCGGAAAATGTTTGAACCACATTGTGGTGGGATTTGAACATGGTCAGCATACTCATCATCGATTTTAATCCCTTCCATAGGAGTCACTGTCAAGGCCAACAGATTCACAGAACTACAGACAAGCAAAAGGTTATCAAAATAGTTGGTTTTTCACCCTGGGTGTGGCCACTGCTTAACAACCTGTGGCTAGGTGGACCTTAAGAAAAGGGACCTCCAGGATAAATTAAAGGGGCAGTGGGCAAGGAGTCAGGCAGGAAAGTTTTGCTAGATAAAAATGTGCACCACTGGGTGGAATATAGATTTGCCTACTGAGAGAAATGTGACTCCTGCATCACTGTGTTTCCTAAATACCGGAATCTACCAAATAATCCAACAATCCCACTACTGCTTGTATATTCAAGGCAAAGGAAATCAGGATGTGGTAAAGATATCCGCACCCCAGTTTCACAATAGCCAAGTCATGGACTCAACCTGGGCGTCCATCAACAGGCCAATGACTAAAGCAAACATGGCATATGCTATTCAGTCATTAAAACAGAAGAGATCCTGTCATTTGAGAGTTAACTGGGCAGGCCTGGAGGATATTTTGCTAAATGAAATTTGGCAGGCACAGGAAAGAGAAGTATTACATGTTCTCCATCATATGTGGAAATTGGGGGTAAAAATGACCTCCTAGAGGTAAAGGGGTACAGATTATTAGAGGCTGGGAAGAATGGGATGGAGGGATGTTGATTAATGGAAACAAAGTTATGGTTAGACAAGAGGAACAAAGTCTAGTTTTATAAAATACAATGGACCGACTATAGTTAACAATTTATTGTTCATCTCAGAATATTTAAAAAAGAGGATTTTGAATGTTCTCAACACAAAGTAATGACAAATGACTGAAATTATGGGTATGCTAATTACCCTGTTTTAATCATTGCACATTGTAGTCATGTACTGAAAAATTGTGTTTACTCCTCAAAAGATGTGCAATTATTAGGTTAATTTAAAAACACTGGAATCTGAAAACAGTATAGAAGTATAATTAAAGAACCAGAACAGTAAACAAAAATAAGGCACTCAACGTCTCCAATCCTTTGGGCTTGGTGTTTTACCTAAGATCTCACTAGGTTCTTACCAGCCTCTGGGCTGGTATTACGATCCATATTTAACAAAAGAAAATTTAAAAGGCTTTTCATAACCCAACACTGAAACTAAATGGTTAGATCTTACTCTGACGGCTAGAAATAAAATGCCAATAAAACTCAGTATGGCAGCAAATGTTTCTCACATAACCAAAGACAGACACAAAAAACGTTGCCCAGGCCACAGCCACTGGCCTTCGTACATTTTCCTAAGAGCCACGACACGACATCAGAGACTAGACTCGCCTCCTCCAGATACCAAAGGCCCCCGGACTGGGAGCAGATTAAGCGTCACCGTTTCTGGTGAGCCCATTCGCTAGCCACCAAGGCGAAGCTGAGACCAGGTGCGACAAAAGACCCTCTTCAAAACCGCACTGGCCGAGTCACACTCCCCCGCGAGCGGCGGGGTGGCAGAGGACGGCGACCTCACGGCGCCGGAAACCCACACGTGACTCCCGGAAGTAGTGACCTTTCGGGGTGTGCCCCCCAAAGCACTCCCAGTCGCGGGACGCCTGCGTCGAGTGCGGCCACCCCGCCCACTGCTGGCCGACTCGGCCAATCCTGGCGCTCTGTGGAGCGCGCGTCGCGGCCGACGGAAGTGGGCTGTACGTCTCTGCGGGTCCGCCAGCCCATTTCCGGCGCCCGGGTCTCTGTGGGAGTAGTACTGGGTGGCCCACGTTTGGTGGGCTTTTCACACCGGTGGGAGGAGAGGCGAAGCTGTCTCGGGGCCCCTCGCAGACCGTATTGTCAGAATTTCCCCCCTTGCGCCAGCGCCGCCTCAAATGTCAGGGCTCGCCCACTATTCTCGGTCCCGCCGACCTAACCTTTCGGGGGCTCCGGAGGGGAAATTCGCCGTTTCTGCCAGGCCTCTGTAAAGCGTGCTCTGAACCCAGGATTTATAGGGTGTTGAAAAATGCCCCAAAGGTGTACTTTATGTCCAGTAATTGTAACTTAAATGTCTCTTGAGTGAGGTTAAAAAGCAAGTGAAAATGATGTCAACAAAATTTCACATAGCACATTCATTGTCTGGTGATTTGATACATGCGAGAAGTAAGATTAAAATAGAAATGAATAGGTTGAAATCATTTTGTAAACTGTATGGTTCTGCAAATGAATGCACTAATCTCTAGCAATAAAGCTGTCAAATAATCTAGGGCGAAATCAGGATAATAGTAAAATTATTGACAGCTGTTGCGTGCTAGCGATTCAATAGATGCTGGGAATTCAACATAACCAAGGCAGGAAGGTCCTCTCACAGAGTTCATCGGACTAGGGAGAGAGACAATAAAGAAAAGGTGACAAAATGCTTGAATGATAGGTACTATATTGATGGAATGAAAGAATGCAGCCATAGAGAATGGTCTATTTTAAAGTGTTTGCTAAGAGATACTAAATATAAGAGTGACCCATGGGGGGGGGAGGCCTGGACGACCAAAACAAAAAGCCTGCAATATCTTTGCTAGGAAATCAGGATAATCCTGGGGGAGGAGAGTGGGAGGTGGTGGTTGTATAGTACTTTGGATCCAATACAGGATCAGAACTGCCCTTGGTGGCAGCTGCTAACATTGTCAGTACCACTTCTCCATTATTGGATTGTGAGGTCCACTAGGCAAATGTTGCAACTACTGCAAGAAACTGATTAAGTGCCTCGAGAACAGGGAGATCTTTTTGTTGGTACTTCCCGCAATGCAGAAACTTGTCAAATATTGAGTTTAAAAGGTGGTTGGTAGAAATGGGTGGTTCTTCCTGGAAATAGGGTCAGAACCAGATATTTTTATTGCCAGTATTAGGGCAATGTTTTTTGGTAAATGGTTTAAATATTTGGCCTTGTCCTATAAATGTGTGATGAGACATATGTGGGAATTTTTTTAAACATTTATTTTTATTTTTATTTATTTTTTGAGAGATTTTTGCTATAGGGTGTGTGCGCTCACCAGAAAGACCAGAGAGACAGAGAGACAGAAAGCGAGAAATCACCCCCCGGGGGGATGGCCACGCTGCAATCCCTTCTCCTCCATTCTCCTCTCGGGATCTTGGGCACGCACGCACACGTGCCCAGCGTGAGTTTAAGCCACCGGGTCTGGGACTTGAACCGCAGTTGACTATGTGGAAGTCTGGCGACATAGCCATTACGCTAACTGCTGGTCCCATATGTGGGAATTATAAAGAAAGTGTCATGAGTGTTACTGACTTACTAAGTAATATACTGGTAAAAGATATGGTGGATAGTGGGAAATTCAGCATAAGAATATCTGAATTTGACCAAGACTGTAGGATCTACACAGTCATTTCACCTTAACCTCAATCTTTGCATTATTTTAGAATTATTTACTTAATAATTTATTATTATTTTTAAAATTTGCTATAGGGCACATGCATCATAGAGAGAGACAAAGTGACAAAACAGCTGCCAGGTCTGGGACTCAAACTGCTATCAGACATGTTGGAGTTCAGCGCCCTAACAACTACACCACTTGCTGGCCCCAATCTTGGCATCTTTGAAATGAAAATTATCCTACCTGCCAAGAAGTTCAAATATAATGTCTAAAGCCAATACTGGAGAAACATACTAGCATACTGTTTCAAAATACTGAGATAATTTGCAAAAGAAACAATGTAAAGAGTTTGAAAACATTTGCTTCTGGGAATCAGAGCTGAAGTGGGAAGGACTGAGTCAGAGAGCTGTTGCTCTATCAATTAGGTATTGCTGCATAGCAAAACCTGACCCATATAGTCTGCATTTCAGCTGTGGTGACTGCTTCAGGTTGCTAATTGTGCAGGTTGGCTGGGGCAGGTATGTTTCATATGTATTCATTCTGAAACCCAGGTTGAGGAGACAGCAGCAATGTCCCTGCGCTTTCTATAACCATTTTTAAAAATTTAACTTTATTTATTTCGTTTGACCAGAAAGAGACAGAATGAGAGAAAGGGAGAGAGAGAGAGAGAGAGAAAGAAAAAGTAAAGCAAGCCGCCAGGTCCAGGACTCGAACAATAGTTGTCCGTGTTGGAGTTCAGGACCCTTAACCACCACGTCACCTGCTGACCCCCTATATAAATTTAACAATAAAGAATACAGACTTAATGATTAGGTCAGTACTTTTGAAACTTTTGATTAGGCAGCTGTTAACATTTCATTGGCCAATAGGGCCAGCAGGTGGTGTGGTGGTTAAGGTGCTGGACACTCCCACATGGCTGATCACGGTTCTAGTCCCGGACCTGGTGACCTGGTGGCTTGCTTTCTCACTTTCCCTCTCTCTCTGGTCAAATTAAACGACTCGGCCAATCCTGGCGCTCTGTGGAGCGCGCGTCGCGGCCGACGGAAGTGGGCTGTACGTCTCTGCGGGTCCGCCAGCCCATTTCCGGCGCCCGGGTCTCTGTGGGAGTAGTACTGGGTGGCCCACGTTTGGTGGGCTTTTCACACCGGTGGGAGGAGAGGCGAAGCTGTCTCGGGGCCCCTCGCAGACCGTATTGTCAGAATTTCCCCCCTTGCGCCAGCGCCGCCTCAAATGTCAGGGCTCGCCCACTATTCTCGGTCCCGCCGACCTAACCTTTCGGGGGCTCCGGAGGGGAAATTCGCCGTTTCTGCCAGGCCTCTGTAAAGCGTGCTCTGAACCCAGGATTTATAGGGTGTTGAAAAATGCCCCAAAGGTGTACTTTATGTCCAGTAATTGTAACTTAAATGTCTCTTGAGTGAGGTTAAAAAGCAAGTGAAAATGATGTCAACAAAATTTCACATAGCACATTCATTGTCTGGTGATTTGATACATGCGAGAAGTAAGATTAAAATAGAAATGAATAGGTTGAAATCATTTTGTAAACTGTATGGTTCTGCAAATGAATGCACTAATCTCTAGCAATAAAGCTGTCAAATAATCTAGGGCGAAATCAGGATAATAGTAAAATTATTGACAGCTGTTGCGTGCTAGCGATTCAATAGATGCTGGGAATTCAACATAACCAAGGCAGGAAGGTCCTCTCACAGAGTTCATCGGACTAGGGAGAGAGACAATAAAGAAAAGGTGACAAAATGCTTGAATGATAGGTACTATATTGATGGAATGAAAGAATGCAGCCATAGAGAATGGTCTATTTTAAAGTGTTTGCTAAGAGATACTAAATATAAGAGTGACCCATGGGGGGGGGAGGCCTGGACGACCAAAACAAAAAGCCTGCAATATCTTTGCTAGGAAATCAGGATAATCCTGGGGGAGGAGAGTGGGAGGTGGTGGTTGTATAGTACTTTGGATCCAATACAGGATCAGAACTGCCCTTGGTGGCAGCTGCTAACATTGTCAGTACCACTTCTCCATTATTGGATTGTGAGGTCCACTAGGCAAATGTTGCAACTACTGCAAGAAACTGATTAAGTGCCTCGAGAACAGGGAGATCTTTTTGTTGGTACTTCCCGCAATGCAGAAACTTGTCAAATATTGAGTTTAAAAGGTGGTTGGTAGAAATGGGTGGTTCTTCCTGGAAATAGGGTCAGAACCAGATATTTTTATTGCCAGTATTAGGGCAATGTTTTTTGGTAAATGGTTTAAATATTTGGCCTTGTCCTATAAATGTGTGATGAGACATATGTGGGAATTTTTTTAAACATTTATTTTTATTTTTATTTATTTTTTGAGAGATTTTTGCTATAGGGTGTGTGCGCTCACCAGAAAGACCAGAGAGACAGAGAGACAGAAAGCGAGAAATCACCCCCCGGGGGGATGGCCACGCTGCAATCCCTTCTCCTCCATTCTCCTCTCGGGATCTTGGGCACGCACGCACACGTGCCCAGCGTGAGTTTAAGCCACCGGGTCTGGGACTTGAACCGCAGTTGACTATGTGGAAGTCTGGCGACATAGCCATTACGCTAACTGCTGGTCCCATATGTGGGAATTATAAAGAAAGTGTCATGAGTGTTACTGACTTACTAAGTAATATACTGGTAAAAGATATGGTGGATAGTGGGAAATTCAGCATAAGAATATCTGAATTTGACCAAGACTGTAGGATCTACACAGTCATTTCACCTTAACCTCAATCTTTGCATTATTTTAGAATTATTTACTTAATAATTTATTATTATTTTTAAAATTTGCTATAGGGCACATGCATCATAGAGAGAGACAAAGTGACAAAACAGCTGCCAGGTCTGGGACTCAAACTGCTATCAGACATGTTGGAGTTCAGCGCCCTAACAACTACACCACTTGCTGGCCCCAATCTTGGCATCTTTGAAATGAAAATTATCCTACCTGCCAAGAAGTTCAAATATAATGTCTAAAGCCAATACTGGAGAAACATACTAGCATACTGTTTCAAAATACTGAGATAATTTGCAAAAGAAACAATGTAAAGAGTTTGAAAACATTTGCTTCTGGGAATCAGAGCTGAAGTGGGAAGGACTGAGTCAGAGAGCTGTTGC